CTTCTTCTTCTTCTTCTTCTTCTTCTTCTACTTCTTCTTCTTCATCTTCTTCTTCTTCTTCTTCTTCTTCTTCTTCTTCTTATTCTTCTTCTTCTCGGGTCACTACGCTACACTAGACGCACGCACGTAGAACTGGCACGGTGGTTCACAAAGCCTCAACGTCTCCAGGTCTACATGGCTCTGATAATTTAGGGACCACAGGTCACATTGGTTTCTGGGGGCCACAGGAGGAGAGTTCACGTCGCGGCCCCTGTCTGGTTTCTCACCTGCGATTCCTTTTACCACACTACACTACCACTACGAGGTAGCATAGGAAACTGTGTTGTCAGTGGTGCTGAAGCGGTTGCTGCTGAGGGGGCTGGAGGGGGGGGGTTGTCGTATCAGGTACTACAGATATGTACCCGAAGTACATATATGTATACACAAAGTGTACCAGACTTGTACTACAGAAGTGTACCCTAACACTAACCCTAACCCTAACCCTAGCCCTAACCCTAAACATACCTCACATAAAAATATAAACATAATAATAAACAACCTAAAACTACCTCGGGTACATATCTGTAGTACCTGATACGACAACGACCCCATCTGCGTCAGTGGTGTCACCGACTCTTTCGCCACCGTCGCGTCACTGCCACGGCGTGGCGACAGTCTACTTTAGCGAGGCCTGGGGGATTGGCATAACTTACAGACACGTAATTGCATCTCCGAGGAGCGGCACCTGCCTGCCACAATATGCGTGGCGAGAATGACAAATTGCCAGCATTGGTAACGAGTTATCACTGACCGCGTGCTGTTGCCAGTGCATTGTACAGGCTGCTTACACAGCCGTAGGGGGGATACGTATACATGTCAACGCGGTCGGCGGGTTATTTCATCTGCAATCGAGGACACATATACCGCACTCCGCTTTCCTGCGCTGTGCTGATAGAGGACACGTAACCTTGTAGAGATAACGCTAACGAGGCAGAGTCCAGGTTGGACATAAGCGGATCCAGGAGGGGGAGTGGCATAGGGCGCCATTCCCCACGTCAACGAATCAATAGTAGAAAACGAGTGACAAAACGTGTGAGAAACAGTCATTGATAAAGATATCAAGCGTCGATTTTACTAGTTTTCCAAATGTCCGTCCGTCCATCCATCCACCCATTCATCCATCCATCTATTCATCCCTCCCCCGTCCGCCCGCCCGTCCAAACACGCCCGCCCGCCCGTACAAAACCCAACCCTATAGGTGTGTCTATACAACTATTGCGTTCCTACTACATACATAGTCAAGATAGAGTCGTAAATTCAGCCGTAATGCATTCGTGATACGCGCCCACATACCGGCGCGATCGAATTCCAAACTCCACACCGGTTCTATGATGGATCTGCTGTCGCCATTGCTTGTTTGACGGAGAGAACAATATAGAAATATCGCATTACGTGATTCATTGCTGATGATACACGAACCAAGCAATATAATTACGCTGAGAGGGTCAAAGTACCTCCAAAGGTACTATTGGAAGATACCCTGGGTACGGTTCGATATATCGGAACGTACCCTGGTACTATCTAATATGCCGGACCGTACCTCTCCTACTCCACTAACGAGTCTAGGGAGTCGCCTACGCCTACTCCCTAACCCTAACCCTAACCATATCAGATAGTTACCATGCAGGGTACGTTCCGATATATCGAACCGTACCCAGGGTACCCTCCGGTAGTACCCTGGGGGACATAGACCCTATGAGCTATAATTACGTACACGGCCAAGGGCGTGTCGCAACATGGCGTGTATGTGTGGGTTGGGTAATCATGTTGTACGATTGTTCGTGGAAGGTTGGTTACTATTAAAAATCACACACGAGAACACGAATACACAAACACACGCACAGAAGGAGAGGCGGGAGGAGAGAGAAAGTAAAGGACAGAGCTAAAACGACAGAGAGAGAGAGAGAGAGAGAGAGAGAGAGAGAGAGAGAGAGAGAGAGAGAGAGAGGAGAAAGAGAGACATAACATAAATAAGTTAAATATGGTTGAGGATTCCCAACCTGTCGATCAGGATCTAAAGTGCTATCTATGGTCACATCGCGAATATATTCGCACGAGATTAGCGAGCGCAGAAAGTTTCGCACTAACTTATCTATAATTTAATCCTAAATGCTATCCAAAATCTCACGCACGGGGATCCGGGGACTACCACAAGGAATTGCAATGCCGAGGGAGGAAACCGGTCCTTCCGCCAGGTCGTTGTTATCGCATTATTCCGTGTAACGTTATAAACGCAGTTTATCGTATGCCTGACTCGACACGCAAGAAAGCAGTTACTAGAGTAATGGTAAACAGGATTACACCGGGGTGGGTTGACTAGGTGATAATTCCAGAGGACGCCTCCTCCCCCGCAGTGTTATTCACCAGTCGTCAACAACGGAAAGATGGCTGTAACATTCGCTTGATTATGTTACTAATCGTATAATTAACGAAGAAAGCTACGAAATGATGAGATCATTCAAATACATTAACAAAATGTACTCATTCTTCTCGTTAACATCTGCTTGTAGCGTCGATGCGTTGGAAAATGTGCGCCGGACTGGATAATGCGCGTGCTCCCTACACCACAGAAGTAAACCGTCCAAATCGCTTACACGTTTGCTTATGGTAATGTATAGTGGGACATATATGTAAAATAATTTTACATAGTTTGTGGTAAAAGAACCAAAATGGGCGTATACTAAATGATTTCAGATATACTGCCAAGCTGAATTTTTACCGTGAAGTCAGTAACAATCCAAAATCCAAGATATCCCCAACAATGCGATTCTAAATATCTATTCATTGTTCGATCTTCGTAAATATTTAACATAAAAACATAAAGAATTCGTTTTTTGGACCTATTGACTATTAGTCAGACAAATAATCGCACGTCCGACTGCACGAAAATCATGGCCGCAGTTTGTCAGTATCTATTGATTCTATTCCGAGCCACTTCATATAGGCACGAGTTTTTCTTTCCCAGCCAGAAGCTTCTTCCGCTTCCCTATTTTCAAGCGAAAGCGTTTTTCAGCACACGCGCTGTTCGTTTGACGTCATGAAGTGAAGGCGATACGATGAGATGGTAGTGATGCGACAAAGTCGTATTTGTACGGCACATAACGGACCTGCTTATATTCATTATTTTGCCCGAAAACATCAAAGTTTTGCGCAACCGTTTCGCGCATATACGTAAGCGAAGAGCTTATACTGGCAAAAATATGCGCGTGATTACTAAGACGTGAATATATAACAGTCATAAACATTCAAATAAAATGTGTTGCGTTTAAATGCTCCTATAGCAGGTGGGTGTTACTCAAATGCCATTGACATACCATTTCGATTTTATGGCACATTCTAAATGTACTTGCCCGTGGGCTACACAGACGTGGCTATGAACTGGCACTAGAGGCGGGCATCATCGCCCTGTTTTGGTGATCTTGAAGCCATTTTCGATTACAAGTCGTAATGTTCAAAACTAAATGTAGTAATACAAAGTTGTGTATAAATCGTAAATTGCAACACGACTATGAAAAGTACGATACATTCCATTGCGTATGTATAATATTAAGTAAGGATCGAGACGCTGCACAATACAAAATAGCATCTACACTGTTAATCACCGTTCTATTGCATTCTAACTCTAAGACGTTCGACAGATATAAACGTACAATAACGGCATATTCGTCACGAGTCGTAGAGGTGACGGATCTACCGCAAAGTACGATGTAAACCACGTGCTATATACAACGCAACGTTCAGTCGACAAAGAAATAAGCGGCCGCTAGGACAAACTCCGATTTTCAGCATCGCTAAACATTGTTTCTCGTCTGCATTAAATTACGTTAAAAACACAGTTACGCAATAGAATACTAGAGAACAAATACAGTTGTTCGCTACAATTTGGCCTTAAATTAGTTAGTTTATCATGAAGCAGTACAACGTAAATAAAATTCTACAACTAAAGCACCAAGACGATGAAAAACAAAAAAGCATTATCATTTCTAAAACGACGAATCCAACATGTGCAACGACACATCGAAATATAGAGTTATTAGCAAATACTATAAAGTCTACTTTGATTAAAAATTGACAAATTGAGACGCGATTGGATATAGTCGATAATCTATAATGCTACTCGATAAGCCGGGATGTTGTGTAGGCCACTGGAGAAGTTGTGATAGTACAGCCGACTAATCCAGTGATCGTGTGACTGCCGACTACTAGCGACTTATGTAGTCAGCGCTCAGCCGTTTCCCATCACATCCCCGCCGAGTAGAATCTGAAAAGAGAGAAAAAAGCAAACATCACCACACAATATACACACGAACTCGCAACAATTCAAGTGGAACATTTCCGTGCCGAAATTGGAAAACGAACTACCCAGCTTCGTAAATGTGCTGACGGTGGGGGGCGGGAGCTTGAGTGCAGCGTGGAATCACCATCCGAGTATATAGCACCGCCGCATATCCCCGCCCCCTCTGCTAGATTCACTCCACTCGCTAGGCTTGTTCGAAAATAATATGATAATATGATAATATGATAATATGAGAGAGCGAACTCAAACTAATCCTACCCGGGCAAACACCACGGATCGCCACTCGCGATACTGTGGCGCTCCCATCGCGGAAGACTGCGCGTGCGCTCTACAGGATTCATGTGTATGGGTGTATTCATGTGCAGTAGTATAGCAAGTATTAGCAGATGATATCCCCATCCTCTAATACATACCATACTAATACATA